TGTGGTGTTACTCTGAGTGTATATCCACACCGGGCGAGCTTGAAAAATATGCCCGGCCACGGTGGGATTCGAACCTACGACCTTTGGAATACTAGCCCAATGCTAGCATTATATGCTACGAGCATTGGGCTAGTATTCCAAAGGTCGTAGGTTAGAATCCAACCGTGGCCGGGCATATTTTTCAAGCTCGCCTGGTGTGGATATACACTCAGAGTAACACCACAAATATCATATTCACCTGAGTACACTACACCAACACAGAAAAAATTCATATTACTAGAATACATTGGTATCGAAGGAACTAGATTCTGTTCCGAAATATCACTTACTCGAACCGTCCTGACCGCGTAGCTCAGTTGGAAGAGCATTGGGCTAGTATTCCAAAGGTCGTAGGTTCGAATCCCACCGTGGCCGGGCATATTTTTCAAGCTCGCCCGGTCTGGATATACACTCAGAGTAACACCACAAATATCATATTCACCTGAGTACACTACACCAACACAGAAAAAATTTATAATAATATTTAATATTTATATTGCGCAAATTAACATGTTATAATAGTTTTATACAGCATAATTCTACAATGTATTTTAGATAAAGTAAATATTTATATAAGGAAAGAGAACATTTTCAACGTTTATATTAGTAGGACGAATTGATTTAAAATAGTTTTATACAACATAATTCTACAATGTATGTTAGATAAAGTAAATATTTATTGTAAAGTTAGAAGCGTAATTCAACCAGTGGGTTGTAATATTTTTAATTAATTAAACTATCTATCTATCTATCTATCCAGAACATGTCAAATACGTCTAGCATCGTCTAAATTGCTTCGCAAATTTCTTGCTAATTTCGCCCTACAACGATTTATTAAAAGATGACCCTTCTAGACTAATATTCAAACTATCATATTTTATAGCATTTGAGGCTTTAGGATATATATATATATATATATATATATATATATATATATATATATATATATATATATATATATCTACCATGAGCAACTCGAGAACACTAGCATCGTTACCGACATAAGAAATCAACTTTCAAGAGATGTGAAATGTTAAACGTAAACAATAAAGCCTGGTTCACATATGCCTGCGGTATGCCTGCGACTGTATCATCAACATTTTGGTCTTTTCTGGGTTTACAAGAAGACTGTTGTTACAACACCATTCAACAATTGTGTGTAGATCCTCTTCTATGTGCAGTAACGAGTGTTCCATATGCGACAATGAAAACGATAAAAATGTTTTCGAATCGTCAACATACGATTCAAGACTACAACTGTTGGGAACTGAAGACAAGCTATCTGTGTATATATTAAATAAAAACGGCGATAGAACAGAGCCTTGAGGAATTTCGTGCGACAATGCAACAGGCGCCGAAGAGGTAGATCCAATCCTAACATACTGCCATCTGTCAGACAAGTAACTTTTAAGCCGCTTATGCACTGCAGAAGATACGCCTAAGTTTAGAATTCTTTGAAGAAGCATGTTGTGATCAACACTATCGAAAGCTTTCGACATATCCCACAATATAACTATAGATAACTGTTCATTATCCATAGCTTCCAACAACAGGTCTGTCACTGCAATGTTAAGTGTTTTGGTAGAATGTTTTTTTCCGGTTACCACGTTGATGTTCCGTCAATAATCTGTGGTTTGTTAGATGTTCTGTATACTGATTCAGTGCGACTTTGTCGGATATTCTTGACAAACATGACAGCAGTGAAATCGGTCGATTATTTGAAGCCATTTCAGGATCCCCTTCCTTGTGTAGCGGTACAACTTCTGCTATCTTCCACATTGAAGGATATGTTGACGTCATCAAGGAAGAGTTAATAGAATTAATTAAATCCACTGGCTAATTATGTATGGTCTTTCTGGTAAACGGGTTTTTCTGAATCTTTGCTCGGCAGACACCCCCTAATCACTTTCCACATAGATCTTGAATTACTTTTATATTCCTCAATTTGATTCCGGACAAAGTTGGACTTTGCTGCTATTAAAGATGTTTTTATAGAATTCCTAAGTTGCCTATATACATCCCAATCTTCCGCGTTACGTGAGAGGCGAAAAATTCTCAGTTTTTTGTCTCTCAGTTTCATCGTGCACTTACTTTAATTCTTTATTAATAAACTGGTTAAGTCTGCCTTTAAATCTGGTGTGTTTGATAGGCGCGTGTTTGTCCAGAGTATTTATGAACAATTGATTTAAATGATCAATTTTCTCATTTACATCATTAATACGATAGGTTTCATGAAACGGAAGTTGAGACAGTTCTGCCTTGAAACTCTCGGAGTTGTAGTTCGTAAAACTCCTCACATCCTTGTATTCAAGTCGAGGCTTATCAGCTCTAAGTTTAAGTGTACAGTATATCATAGAATGGTCGCTAATACCAATGTCAACAACCCCGCTACTTTTAACTTTAGAGGAGGACGAAATCATAATAACGTCAAGTAATGAACTTGTTTGAGATGTAATTCTCATTGGATCTTTAATAAGTTGTGTCAGGTGTAGTTCGTAGCAAGTATCTAATAATATTTTAGACTCATAACAAAATGGTTTAAGGAGATTGCAATTCATCTCGCCCAAAATAATGATCTCTTTTCCTAGTAACAAAGCCTCAATGAATTTAGGTTTAAGTTCATCCCGTATACATGTAACCGGGCAGTCAGGTGGTTCATAAGTAACGCAAACGATCATAGATTTGTTTTTATTCACTTGTATTTGTAACCAAAGTTGCTGGAAACCTACTGGAGAAATATACGACAGATTTTTCAAAACTTTTGTCTTGAAGTCATTACGGACGTAAATACATATACGCCGCCACCCTTTTTGTGCTTACGATCAAGTCTGTATACTATGTTGTATTCCTGAATTTTTACCTCGGCATTAGTCGTGGACGAATTTAGCCATGTCTCTGATAATGCCAAGATATCTATTTTCTCGTCAACGACTAGTTTTCGTACTTGAATTAAATGATTTCTGTTTCTAATTGACTGCACGTTGAGATGGGATAACTTTATTTTGTTAAATGAATGTTTTTGGTTATTCATTACGGTGTTTGGTTGACTGCATGCGAAATATTTACGGGTATTATATTTTGAGGATTACGCCTCATCCGCCTAATCCTCTGCCATCGCGGAGACATTCTGATGGGAATTTGAGCCATTATACATACGTTGAAAGGATTCCATCTGGGGGACTGTCGCTGCCATAGGTCACCCGAAAAGGTCTTTTATTTTTTTTAATATCTATACAATTTGCTTTAAAATACAATGCTTGACATGCAAGGCTTCGATTTACAGTAAAACCTCTATAATTCGTATTATATGAAGTACGTGTAATACTGTGTATAGCGTTGCATCGTTATGTAAATATACAGCTATTTCAATTAAGGTTGTCGACGAGCAAAGCGGAAAAGTCGAATACGACCGCGAAAGACTGCTGGGAATCGCTAACAAATTAATTAATTTTCAAAGCTGTTCCCAGCAGCCTTTCGCGCTCGTATTCGACTTTTCCGCTTTGCTCCTGGACAACCTTAATTGAAATAGCTGTATATCCCCAAGGTTGGCAAGAAAATACAAATTCAAAACTGTGTACAAAAACTAAATGACGAAAAAAACTCGTAAGCCTACATAAACCGCATTGAAATTAATTTAAAAAACTAACTCACTATGGTAAGACATAACTTTAATACTTCCACATTGTTGTTTTTTTCTCCCATCACTTTAAAACGACCTAATTTTGCGAAAATTCATCAAATTCGTGACTCAGTTTGGTCAAACTATGCGGCATGATGGCTCCATACGTACGACACAAAATAAAGCTCTCTGACTTGCTGAAATTTTTTAAAATCTCAGAAAAATCTCCGATTGGCTGGCTGAAATCTCCAAGCGAATCAGATAGCTTTATTTTGTGACATAACGCTGGAAGCCATCATCCCGCATAGTTTTGACCAAATTGAAGTTATCACGAACAATACTTTTCACGAATTTGACGAATTTTCCTGAGAATATTCGCAAAATTAACTCGTTTTAAAGTGATGAGAGAACAAAAAAATAGGTACGCAGTGCATACATGTTGCATGCCATCAAAAGCTAGCGTGAAAACAGACCTACGTTCCGCCCGCCCTAAAATTCGCAGGTTGACGAAGCCGTTAGACTTGCTCCAAGTTTCTCTTTCATTGACATATAGTATCAATCTACTATGGTGTACATTACATGACGTACTACGGAGGGGCGGAGCGAGAAGGAGAGACTTGTCAACTTCGGAAAATCTCGGTTGAAAACTGAACAGAAAATGCAAGACTTGCTTTAATTGTTTTCCTTCAATTTCTTTCTGTATTATTTACTATAATGGAACTCATGTTATTTACACTGTGCTAGATCAATACATATAAACACTGACAGAAAACAATTAAACCAAGTCTTGCATTTTCGGTTCAGTTTTGAACCGACATTTTCCGAAGTTGACAAGTCTCTCTTTCTCGCTCCGCCTCTCAGTGCTACGTCATGTAATGTACACCATAGTGGATTGATATGACAATGAAAGAGAGACTTGGAGCAAGTCTACGGATCCGTCGACCCGCAAATTTTAGGGTGGGCGAAACGTAGGTCTGTTTTCAGGCTAATCAAAACCATGAAACGTTATGACACAGAATACTATACAGAAGTCGATTTCCATTGTTTTTTTTTGCGTAAGAGCTATTCGTCATGATTGATGATTCGTCACTCAGCAAGTACCGTAAACAGAAGCAGTCGCCCCCCCCCCCCAGAGGTCGCCCCCTGGTTATGATGCGCTAGCGCTTATCACGTTTGGTACAACTGGCCTGAAACTTAATATATTGATTCAATAAGTTTAATATCAATATATTTATTGAAAATTGGCTATTATGTCAAAATAAGAAAACGTTAGATTATCACGCGAAAAGGCGATGTTTTTATGAGCAACTGTTCATCGTTAGTTGCAGGCGACGGTAATATAAACAAGGTCAAGGTTTTATCGAAAGCGATTGACTGTTAGATTTCCTTTACTATTTTATAACTAAATAATGTTATTTCCTACAAATTTAGCTTTATTGTAGCCTTATTGAAAGTATAAAAAAACATGGAAACGGTGAATTACTACAGATTGAAAATAATTGTTAAACTACGATTGAAATTATCGACGTAGAATGCTATTTCGTTGTAATTTCAATAGTATTAATGAGAATTTTGTTTGTTTGTAGTTTTGAAGTTTTGCACACAATATAATCAATGCGAGCACAATAACTCCACTTCAGTTTGAGTATTATATTTAAATTTGGTATTTTGATAGCGTGCATGGCCTTTCACGCTTTATAATATTACGCCTGATAAATAATCAGTGCGAGCACAGCGGCTCCAAAATTGCAACAAAATAACAGAATATAAAGTAAATTAAAACAGCAAAGCTTTACCTACCTCGATGTATTTTTCTAAGGCGCTCGATTATGTAAATTTTCTGCGAATCTTTGCATTTGCTCGACGAAAACCATGGAAGAAAACGTGCACACGATTCAAAATTTATAATTATGCTTATTGTTATTATGCTCGTCCCGCGTGATCTGCCGCAAGTTTCACCACCACCACCAACGGACACGAATTTTAAGCTATATGATACTTGCATGCCATATATGGGCATGCAAAAAAAAAACACAATGTAGAAGTGTTAAAGTTATTGCGTACCATAGTGAGTTAGTTTTTAAATGAATTTCGATGTTTATGTACGAGTTTTTCCTCATTTAGTTTTTGTATACAGTTTTGAATTTTCACTTTCTTGCCAACCTTGAGGATATATATTACAAAATGATGCAACGCTATACACTATATTATACGTACTTCATGTAATACGAATTATAGAGGTTTTACTGTAGATTGAAGCATTGCATGTCAAAGCATTGTATTTTAAAGCAAATTGTATGGTTTTTTTAAGAAAATAAAAGACCTTTTCGGGAGACCTATGATATAGCCTGATTTATTGAGAATGATCATTCATCATGACCGACACTATTCGACAAAGATTGTGATATAGAAATTAGTATAATGCTGTTTTGTTGTACTTTAAATAGTATGCGAAATCAACTTGAAATTTTTTCGTTTAGGTAAAAAGTATGGCCGTGGTGTATATTTTGCAAGGTATGCTTCCAAATCTGTCGACTATTCGAAGAAAGGTTGTAAGAAAGAAACTAGTGTCTTCCACATGTATGTAGCCAAAGTTTTGGTTGGGAAAATTGTGAAAGGTGATAATACAATGCGCACCCTACCACCACGAAATGATCCACGCAACCCGGAGTTATGTTACGACTCTGCTGTAGATGATACGGAAGATCCGTCTATTTTCGTCACATTTGATGATCATCAGTGCTACCCCGAATATTTGATCACATTTATTAAGGAAACATAACTCCCTTGAGTTCTTTGCATACTGTACATAAGTAAGTTCTTCCTTTCTTATTCAAAATTGAAACGTTCAAAGAGGTAAAAAAACTAAGGTATATGTTATACAGTATAAATATAACATAGAAATCTATGTAAAACTAGAGAATGTTATATTATTGCAAAACATTGTGCACTAAAACTTTATACATTCTATTAAAAATATTTCGAATCAATTTCGATTCATCTTCAAAAGTATATTTCCAAGATACGGTGTGTGCAATTCTGTGTGGGCAATTGGGTGTGCAATTCTCGCGTGGTAAAGTTGGTAAACAATCGAGGCGCATTAACGTTCAACTTGATCAATGCTGTTATCTGTTCAGTAGCAGTTCACTCAATTAAACAATTGCGACTCTTTGCCAGATTTTTGTACAGTATTCAACATAATTTGCGACTTCTGATGTGCTGTGCTTCTTTATAAAATAATAAGTCAATGATTTTAGAGTTGGTAGAAGTTCCGTCAGTTATTTGTTAGATTTAGTTCACAAGAATTGAGTGTCATATAGAAACAGTTTAATGTTTTAAACTCTTGAAAGTTTTCAGTCCATATTTATTTAGCTCTCGTGTACACGTAATGGAAGTTGAACTACATTCTCAACTTTCTTGCAGGTGCCGCTAATTATACACATGCATGTTAGTTTTTAAATGAATTTCGATGTTTATGTACGAGTTTTTTCGTAATTTAGTTTTTGGGTACAGTTTTGAATTTGTATTTTCTTGCCAACCTTGGGGATACAGTATATATTACATAATGATGCAACGCTATACACTGTATTACCCTTACTTCATGTAATACGAATTATAGAGGTTTTAATGCAGATTGAAGCATTGCATGTCAAAGCATTGTATTTTAAAGCAAATTGTATTGATTTTTTAAAAAAATAAAAGAAATTTTCGGGAGACCTATGTTTGCCGAAAGCGAGCGTAATCGGAAACTGCCTTAAATCAATTTCCTTGGAGAGAAAAACTTGCTAAAAATACGCATTTTGAACAGGACGTCGAAAACGAAAAAATTTGGTTACTGAAACATCATTGCAAGTTAAATAAATAGTGAACTTGCTGAATTCTGAACAATATATTCATCAGACTCCGTCGGCCGCGCAGTGAGAATTGTGAACATAGCCCGCACACTTCCTGCCGATGATTTTAATTTCTTTATATAACATTCAAACGAGTTCAACATCATCCAACAATGTTAGTTCAACAACGTTGGACAATCTTGGATAATTTAAAATAAACTAAATC